ACAAAAATGATGAGAGAGGAAGCTCCTCTTATATGAAGAAACATCAAGAAAGTCAAGGTTGTTGAGTCTGGAGAAGAGAAGGTTCCAGGGAGACCTTAGTGCAGTCTTTCAATAGTAACTAAAGGGGCTTTTAAGAGAGACAGAGACAGACTTTTTAATTGGGCCCGTAGCAATGGAACAAGGGGTAGTGGTTTGAATTTTAGACTGGCTGTAAGGAAGATTTTTTCAATGACAGAGGTGAAACATAGAAACAGGCTGCCCAGAGTGGTGGTGGATGCCCCATCACTGGTAGGTTGGATGGGGATCTGAGCAATATGGTCTATTCGAAGATGTCCCTGCTCATTGCAGGGGAGATGGACTAGATGACCTTTAAAGGTCTCTTCCAATCCAAACCACTCCAAAATTTTTTTTAAATGTGATGGAAACATTGTAGCAGACCTCTAATGACCTAAGCAGCCATCAATGATCCTTACATTTCAAAATGCACCAAGAGCAGAATGTTAGTTATTCCCTAAAGTCCCCAAGACAGCAACACAATCAGGATAATGCTACCAAAACCACTTGAGTTTTGTGGAAATGAGCTCAATTGCATAGCTGATGCTCCCAGAAGACTGCATGAGCTGATGCACATTTTGTTTTCCTCAGTCTTTCCATGGTAGTTTCAGTTAATATTACTCATGACTGTCATGTTTAGAAATGTATCCAGACAATGTTCCTTGTAACACTCACAATTTCCATCTGAATTACCTCCATGCACTTTCTTTAAAAAATTTTCTGCAACTTCTCACCTAGGACTAATAAACAGAAAAATGAACTATGTTCTGTATTTGAATGCTTATTTGTGTTCATTTACCAAATAAAGTTTTGTAGTATTTGAAGTATGACTGACAAATTAAAGTATGAGTTAACAATTGTCTTGTACTATACATATTTACCCTAAAATAATATTTCTCAATAACAGTAAGTAGAAAACATTATACATTATATGATACATTATAGGATGCAAAGAGGTGTTCTCTGTTTCATTAGTCAAACTTGACAAGTCTGACTTTGACAATCAAAACATTATTTTGAAGTCATATCCCACAAATATCTAGGTTTATTGAGAACTAGTGGACAGACCTCATTTTAAAAAGTGAAAATAATCCACATTTTTAATGAGGAAAAATTAATTTTTAAACACAGTGGTTTACATTTCTCTTCCATGAAGAGCTACTTGATCCATTTCCCAGAATATGCTTTGTACTTTGGCACAAATACAAAAACTGAGCAACAAATTTGTGCCACTGCAACATTTTCCCTTCAATGTTATGAGCAACTACCACAAAACATACAATCCATTCTGGTTAGGAGAGGAATTCCAGCAGCAAGTAGCTAGGAAATGGACAAATAAATAAAGCTGGATACAAAGTAAAAGACAGGACCTTGTGCACCCATTTAATGCTTATGTCCAGAGAGGCTCATGCTCAGAGAAGTTCAGTGCTGTTGCAATTAAGAGCTGTTTTAGTTACTTTTGAGTTAATGACCATACACAAACCAGGCTTCAATGTGCCTCCTCAAAGAAAAGCAACCTTACAATGTCGAATTACCTTCACCAAATATTATTTGCCTTCATTAAATTAAAAAAGGGGATAGTGAAAGGAATCACTGCATTTCCATAAGTTAGTTGCACTGTAGAGGCAGCCCTTACAAGCACTTTGGGAAGTAAATATTATTGCTTTGCAATTGTGGGTCAGCAAAAAGTTCTGGCAATTTGCACAGAATCTCAAAGGATAAGCTCATGGGCAGATCAGAATTTAGAACCATAAGCAAGTAAAACTTCTGAACTTCCAGTCACCACCCACTGATTTTTACTTCTATCAACAGCAGCTGTGTTATTACACTTCAATTATGTGAATATAAAAGGAGGAAGACTTAAAAAGAACCCAAACAAACCTCACACAAACCAGAGATTGCTATTTTAAAGACAGCTCTCTGTGTATCCAAGACAATTTGTTCCTGGTGACACATTTTAAACATCGAGTCTGGCAACGTTTCTGCTGCCTTCTCTCTCCGTGAAGGAATTCAATGCAAATTTAACCTGTCCCACCAGAAAGAGATTTCATAACTTCCTACACGCACTCTGCAGTCAGTAGAGAATTGAAAAATGTACTGCAACTTAACACCAATGATAAGATTATGAAACATTAAAAACAAAGAAAAATTGACACACTTTAACATAAAGAGGTCACGCTAGTCTATTTTCTCTTTTTCCTATTTCTCTGTGACCAACAACTAGGAATTACATTCTGAATTAATTGTTTTAATTATGCAAAACAACTTTTCCTTTACCAGCACCACAAACAAGGACAGAAACATAGAAAGAAAAAAAAAATTCACGGGACTTGAAAAACTAGATCCACATTAACCAATACTTCAAATAGTGGCTTTTTCAGAAACAGAAAAGCAGAGAAATAAAAGCAATGCTAAAATAAAATTTACTTAAACTTACATTGTCAAATTAGGAATCAAAGGTGAGTTTTATGTCCAAATGAGCTGTATTTTACCAGGGAATTTATGACTTCTCATCTTTAATTTTAGAAGCAACAATGAAGTTAAGCAAAATGGTATCACTAAAATACACACCACCTTAGAAAGCTGTAAGCACACTAAGAAGGGTTGAATGAGGAAAGCCTGAATGAGTTAAAGGTGTGATCTACGCACCCTAACACTTCAAAGCTTACTGAAAGGAATTAAAAGATATTAGTCACTCGCCTATCCAAATTTAGAAATTTAATTCCAGCTGTATATTAAGTACTCTCAACATAAAAAAACACCATAGATTGTCTGGGAGAACTGTAGACAAAAGTTATTTAAGGAGTTAAATAATAAGACCAATTTAGAAGCAGTTTATCATGCATTATATTATATTTGCATACTATTATATATAGAAAGAAGCAAGCTTTTTCTAATAAAATCTGGAAACAAATAACATTTATTTCAAGAAAGGGACAGACTTCCCTGCATCACACAAAGCAGGTTTTACAAAGGAAAAGATTTTCATACTGCAAAGTAGCAAAGGCAACCAGTGCTGGATAGAAGGGGATGTTGAGGTCTAAACCACAATGAGGAAAGTGGCTCTGAACTACTACTGAGTCTTATTACAAAAGGTTAACGAAAGCTCACTTTTGTGTAAGTACACTTAAACCTCAAAGAGTTCAGGTACTTCACACCAGGACTTCATGACAATGCACCTGATCATTGTTTAAATGTTTGACAAGTTGTAATTTACAGAGCAAGCAGGGAAAGATCACATTTCATTTCAGGATCTGTAACTTCCCACATCCCTTAGAGACAGAGGAAAACATGGAAGGGTAAATGACCTGCCTGATATTCGTGTAACAACAAACTCCCGAAAAATACATCTTGAAGGGGTGTTGTCATAACCTCACACCTTGACTTCTATGTAGGAAAGCATGCTAGACATGCAATTAATAAATTCTATTTTTCCCTTAAAGAACCAAATAGAATTGCATAAAAAATACATCATACACCCTCCTCCAGTTACCTGAAACGTTATCAGGAGAGTAAGATGACAAAAATGTGGTGGAACTACCAAACATGGACCAAAATAACGAAGTAGAAAAAACTTTCTTTTTCAGTGCTTAGCTATACATCCACTTAGAAAACACATTCCTGTTTTCAATGGTGAGAACTTTTCCTCATCCCCAACAAAATACCTTCATATTTGAAGGCTTAATTTTATTTTCCTCTGTAGATTTCACTTTCTTCCTTTCTAGACCTTTAACAGTTCTTACATGTCTCTCCGAGTTCTCCTACCAGCTCATCTCCTACACATCCCAACGTGCTTTCAGTCCCTCCAGAGACCAAGGCGAACACAGCCCCGTGCTGGGCGGCTCACCCAGCTCCCCGGGGCCCTGCCCAGCACTCCGCGGGCCCGCTCGCCTCCCCACGCCGGGAACCCCCCGGGCACCGCAGCTCCCTGTGCCTCTGCCCAGCTCACGGGCAGAAGTTTGTGTCCCGGGGAGGGAGCCCACCCCGGAGCAGCTCACGGAGCGCTGTGTCCCGGGGGACGGAGCCCACGCTGGAGCAGGGCAGGAGCTCCGGCTCCGCTCCCCGAGCAGCGGCATTAACAGCATGCGATGAAGTGACCGTAACCCTCGTTCCCATCTCCCTGCGCAGCCGGAAGGGAGAGGGCAGAGCAGGGTGAAGGAAAGGTGTATTGGTATTGGGATTTTGTTCCCCCCTTTGCATTATCCTGCTCTGCCTTGATTGGCAATAAACTCAATTAATATCCCCAAGTCGAGTCTGCTCTACCCATGACAGTAATGGAGCAATGGTGTCTCCCTGTCCTTATCTCAGCACCTGAACCTTTTGCTCTATTTTCTCTGCCCTGCCCATTTGCGGAGGGGAGCTGTAAAGGAGCTCCGCTGAGTGCCCGACATCCAGCCAGGGTCAACCCGCCGCAATCACTCTCAACCTTCTCTCCGCCGCATGTCCTCGCAGATACACCTAGAGCAGGGCACCAGCCCGCCACTCACCCAGCAGCTCCCAGGTGCCGTGCAGGTGCCTCCATCCTGGCCGGGCGGGCAGGGAGAGCCCCGCGCCCAGCGCCGAGCGCCCGGCCCGCAGCAGCCGCAGCAGCCGCTCCCCGCCGCCGCTCAGCCACAGGGACGCCGCCATCTTCCCCCGCCCCCCGACCGCGCCGGGGCTGCCCCGCTGCCTGCCTGAGCAGAAATAACCGGGCACGCCCCCGGCGCCGGGGGGGCAGCTTCAGCGAGCCCCTGTGCTCCGCCCGCGGCACCTGCCGTGGCATTGGCCGCCTCGATCGCCTCAGGCGTGGGCAAATCTAATCGCGCGGACACCCGCGTCCAGCCTGGCGGTTCGTCCCTGGGGCGCACCCGCATCTCCTCTGGTCCCTGCCGGCTCCCGGCCCGGGGGGAGAGCAGCAGCCTCTCCATCCCGCCCGCCGCGGCTCGGCTCGGTGCCCGCTGCTGGGTATGCCCAGCGCTCCGCAGGCGCCCGCGCGGCGCCCCAAAGAAGCCCCCGAGCCAGGACCCCGCGCTGGCCGCGCCATGGCGGCCGCCGGCGGGGACGCGGCGCAGGTAACGGGGCCGGGGGGCGGCGGGGCCGCGCCACCGCTCCCAGAGCCCCCGCCAGCGCGGGGCTGGGCTGCTCCTGAACCTCGCTAACTGGCCAGCAGCCTCGCAGCTGCTAATTAGGAGAGAGGCCCTGGGAGTACTGGTGGATGGCAAGTTGACTATGAGCTGGCAGCGTGCCCTGGCGGCCGAGAGGAAATTCAGGCAGCAGGATCCGGGCAGAGGCAGTGTCCGGCACACCGGGAGCAGTGTTCATAAGCTAAAACACGAGTTCCACCTCAACGCGGCCATGAAATTCTTTACGCTGAGGCTGGCAGAGCCCTGGAATAGGCTGCCCAAGGGAGTCGGGGAGGCTCCCTCCCTGGAAACATTCAAAGCCCAGCTGGAGGCTTTCCTGTGTCAACTGCTCTGGGTGGCCCTGCCTTGGCAGGGGGATTGCACTGAATTGTCTCCAAAGGTCTCTTCCAACCCTGGCTATTCTGTGCACATATATAAACGTGTTGTAAAATTTAGTCCAATTTCCAGAATGTTGCCAGCTGTCAGTCTGGCACCTACAGGACTCATGGTTCTTTTTGTGTTAACTGGAGTTGTTTAGGTTTGTTTTGTGATTTGGTTTTCTTCTGTTTTGTTTTTTTTTTTTTAATTGGTCTTTGATTGGGGTTTTATGTATCATCACAACCAGAACATGAGCTGGCAGTGCTGTGCTTCACCAAACTTTGAGCATATAGAAGCATTGCCTGGACAAAGCTCAGACACCTCTCCAGTTTGTGTGTGACACTGGTGGAGAGACCAGCCCAAGCTTCAAAACCAGCCAGAGCTGACAGCAGGGAGATGAGAAGTATCAGCAGCCTAGATAATGTGGCCTGCCAGGAAAGTGGGAAATAATCCAGTTCATTATCAACAAAGCAAAGCAAAAAAAAAGGCAGCACACTGAGTTGTTGTAATACAGAAAACATTGTCACAGTGTAGGTGAGAGGGAACACCATCTCCTGCATGTCTATCATCTTTGGTAAGAGAGAGCACATCTCACTGTCACTGGAGGTTGTAAAGATGAGGTTAGAGCAGGAGATTCCAAACGTTGTCAAATGTGCCCCAGGCTGCCATCTCCAGGAATTCACCTTCCCACTCTCCACTGCCTCTGCCTTGTGCTCCTGTTCCATCCCCACCCTTAGTTGTGCAAGTCCAACACCACCTGGAAGCATTTCTTTCTAAACATCTCAGCAGAGGTATTGGCACCAAGTAACCACTGCCTGCCATTTTTGCTGTGTGCTGCTTTTGCTTTGGGTCGCTCTATTCTGTTGGTGTTGACAAAATACTCCCCACCCCAAGGTGGATTCTTGCTGCTAAACAGAATATTTTTCTGATAAATGTTTCTGGTGGGCATTAATGACTGAAGTGAGCAGTAGAGCAGCTAACCATTTGTCATTTTAGAAAAACTTTTAATGCTTCTAGTTGCTGCAATAAAAAAAAAAAAAGAATCCTATATAAAAGCACACCATAAAAGCAGCTGTTTTACTGTGGTAATGTAGGTAGAAACCTTACCAGACATACCTTTGGTTAATATATAGATGTGGATATTAATGTAATAAACAATGGAATATGGAAAAAATACAAGATGGGGTTTTTTTCCTCCTAAAGAAATTTTAAAATAATGCTATTTTCTTTCTGACTAAACTGCATTAAAGTAACTTCATGTAATAAAAATGTAGGAATGTAAAGTTCATAAAATAATTTGCATGTATTTTCTGTGGTATTTTTGAGTGCTGTTTAAAAATGTGCATTGACTAATAAAGTCTGTTCTACTGAAATTTGTCAATCAAGCAAAATTAACCTACAGAAAAACTGATTTAATAGGAAAACCACTAGTCAAGCTTTTAAAGATTGATAATGTTAGATGCATTTATTTTTCCTTTTTTTTTTGTGCAATAGTATCATGGCTATGGGCCACTGCACTCAGATAAACTTTAGATGAGATCTTTTCTGTGAAGGATAGTCAGACTTGTACCTTATTTGAGGTTTTGTTTGTTTCAAGGTGTGATGTCCCGGGCAGAGCATAAAGGGCATTGTGTCAACATGCAGTTATTTTGTAATTGAAGTTCATTAGCATAAATTAGACCATTTTGCTGCAGTATGAAAGTACTAATCCTTTAAACTCAGTTTGAGAGCTTGAATTCTTAGGTGTTAGGTGTTTCTGATGGTTTCTCATTTATTTATTTATTTTCTTTTTAGGATGGGTTACATCCAAGGAATCTTATCCCAGAACTTTGTAGGCTGTTTTATGGTTTAGGCTGGGTAACAGGAACTGGTGGAGGAATCAGCTTGAAACATGGGTAAGTGATGATGAAAGAGAGATAATGTGGTGGTGAGAGAGAGGTGGCTGTGTTTAGTACTTGGTGAGGGCTTTACAGTTCCATGAGAAGTGTTTGCAAGTTGAAGTAGGCAAGAAGTTAGAGGATGAAATGAGCAGTGTGCCAAAATTAACCATATAGGAGGAAGGTGAATAGTCTGAATTCATCATTGCAGTCCCTTCAACAGGGAGAGACAGCTTCAGAGAGTGACCTTATCCTGTCCTTTTCCTACCTTTTTTTTAAAGTAGATGAATTGCCTTTAAAGAACAACGTGTTCCCCCTTTTTCACTTCGCTGACTATGGAATTTAGAGTGGGTTACATCAGGCAGGCACATGGCTTTCAAATGCCTGTGGTTAAATAAGATCAGTCTCACCCTGGATGTATTTTACAGGCCAGATATTTCCTCTAAGAAGGAAATTGCTGTTCCACTGAGGTAATTTCTAAGGAGACAAATACTTTACATATAATTAAAGCATGACAGGTAACAAAATTTTTGGTCTGTGTCTCCTATGAAGAAGCACCACTTTGTGTTTTTATTTGCCTGTCTCCCACCTTTTCATAATCTCCAATCCTTTTAGTGGGAACAGAGCTCCTCTCAGTGGCCACTGGAAAAAAAAGATAAGTCCTCATTCTGCAAAGAGCCTTGCACAGTGCCTGCAGTTCTGTGCCCAGTCACCAGGCTGTGACACTGTCTTGAGAGTATCTGACATCTCATTTTTCTGGTATACACTTGCATGAATGCACAAACAGCCATTGCTATTCAAAGATGTATTTTATATATATGAATAAAAGACCCTAAATGCTCATAGTTGTGCTCTTTGGACTTTGTGCAGGTCATTTCACCTCCCTGCTTGATTTTGCAAGCAAAGCCACAACAGTAATAATAATGAGATGAATTAAAAGAGGGTAAATTCTGTGGGAAGACCTTTCTAGCACTAATTTGTCATCAGTACCTAAATGTAGCCTATTTTCTTTGTCATTCCAGTGCAACTCCTGTTGGTTTTGGCAAGATAAATGGCATTATCAGAGAATGCACTAATACAGTAATATAGTTTTCCTTAGTAGTTCTATAGCTTGTTTACTTGGCATTGTTAGAAAGGAAAATGTAAAGGAACAGTTGAAATGTGATTCAAATATAGCAACTGTTTTTACCAGGTAATCTTAATCAGCCTTACTCACTGTGCAGTTCATATCAACTATTAAGGAAAAAAATTGCCAATTTGGACTTGGCATAGCATGTTAAAAATTGATGTAGAATTCTTTGTGAGGTATCTTGTATTTGAAGACTTTATTTTATCATCTGATTTTCTGGTTAAGTTCTAAAAAATAAAAAAATCTGGTTCAAGAAAAATTGTGTGTCTGTCATAAGTAACTGAGTTTACCACTTGATTTCTTATCTTGCTCATACAAATGAATCAAGACTAAATTAATGCAACGCCAGCAGTGTTAATTCATGAATGTCAAAAATTACAAATATGATAAAGCCACATTTTTCTGTGCTTCACAGACATTTTATCACTATGAATAGTACATAATCTTAAGAGTTTTATTTTTGGAAGAATTAAAATCATGGAATTGTTTAGGTTGGTAAAAATCCTTAATATCATCAAGTGTCCAACCATAAACCTACCGCTGCCAAGTTCTCCACTAAACCTCATTCCTAAGCACCATGCCTAAAGGTCTTCTAAAAACTTCCAGAGATGGTGAGCCTACTGCTTTCCTGGGAAGCCTATTGCAATGCTTGGTAACCCTTTCAGAGAAGAAATTTTTCCTAATATCCAATTTAAACCTCTCCTGATGGAAATGGAGATAATTTCCTCTTGTCCTGTCACTGGTTACCTGGCAGAGGAGACCAGCCTCGCCTGACTACAGCCTCCTTTCAGGCAGTTGTAGAGAACAGTGAGGTCACCCCTGAGCCTCCTTTTCTCCAGACTAAACACCCCCAGCTCCCTCAGCTGCTCCTCACAGGACTTGTGCTCCAGACCCTTCTCCAGCTCCATACTCTTGTCCAGAGCTGCAAAGATCCCCATGGTCCATAGGAAATGTGTCTGTAACTTGACTAATTATTCACTAGATGTCTCTGTGCTCCTGAATTTTGTACGTGACTGGGAAGTCAAATAGTGATTGCAGTTCAGAGAGAGAATATAGTTGGGGATTTTGTGCTAATAATGAAAAGAATGCAGTGCCATCTTGAAATCATTTTAGTTTCAATCAGTTTTTAAGGTTTTTTGTTCATGTAGTCCTTGCAAGAAGTGATGCACTTCTCCTTAAATTTCAGTCATTTAATTACACTGAATTAGTGCTATTTCTTTATCAACACAACTAAACATGGAACTGCACTAGAAACCTAACCTGCACACTTAAAAAAAAAGTATTTACAATGTTAAATGTTTCAGATAATGATTCCTGTTTTAAGATAGTTTATGGATTTTTATGTAATGGTTTTGTCCCCCGCCTTGTCACAGATCAGTATCTGTTTGCAATTTGTCATTTAATTTTTATTCTCAATTCTAGAATTTGAGTTTGAGTTACTGCAGGGAAAGGCTGTTTTTCTTTGTTGGAAAAATAAGACTGCACTTCTTATATGTGTTTCGGATATCTGTCAAGTTGAAAGCAGGGTTTTGTAACCCTGCAAGTTAAAGATTTTATTTACAATTTATTGTACAATTTGGTTCTATTTTGAAAACTATCTGCCTGTCGATGTATGGAAAGAACAAGAAAGTTTTTTAATTGTCAGGGTCTAGATTTGCTATTTCCTTTTCAGTGGCTCAAGAGCTCGAATGCCTGTCTGGTGGAACAGTCATTGCTCAGCTGTGTTTACTGATTTTTCTCATCTGCAACTTTTCCTAGGGATGAAATCTACATCGCTCCTTCAGGAGTCCAAAAGGAAAGAATACAGGTGTGTTAAACTGTGCTTTTACCTCAGAGCTCATCTTGAGATGGATGAAAGTCCCTTTGTTTAGAGTTTGATTTTTCCTTATGTGAAGTTATAAACTTGTTATGCATTTGAAACAACTGCTGATTTCTCCCAGTACTCCACTATGATAGGAAGCCAGTATGTGTTTCAGTGGCCAGTGTAGATTAGTCTTGATGTTCTCCTTGCTTTAAATTAACACAAAGCAGCATGAGAGTGGAGCATACTCCAGTCCAGCTTTATTCTTTGTCAGGCTTGGTTGGCTGGACTTGTCTGGCTACAGTTTCAAGTTACCCATGTAAATAGACATTAACACCTCATTGCTGTTTATTTTCGTTTGAGTGATTGCAAATATTTGTCTTGATATACTCAGTAAATAACTAGGCTCTCCCCATGAAAAGGTGACCTGTCTCTGTTTTCCAAAAAACAACCCAAAATGTAAGAGGAGGGGGGAACGGTAAACAATACCTATTTTATGACAGCAGGAACTCCCCCAGGATAGAGTAATACATGGAAAGGATTTGTCATCTCATAAATCTGAGGATAAATACAGTGAGGAGGGAAAGGAATTTCTTCTCTGATAGAAACTTGGGTTCTTAGAGCAGTGTTTGCTGGGGATGTGGAGAAGTAAGGCAGGCAAAGGTATGTAAGATAACCGCAATGCTGTGGTCTGTGCTCACAGTAACAGAGGATTAAGCACAGTCAGTGAGGAAATCTCCTGTAATTGTATTTTCTGCTGATTTTTAAAATAACATTAACATTTTATTACTATCCTGAACAATTCTTTGTACTATTATGAATAGTTAATTGATGCAAAGGTAACATTCATGTAAAGCTACTAAAAGCAAACTTTAAAAATAAATAGTTCTACAAGTTAAATGTATTATTTTTTAAGTTTAACTTGTGTTGTTTGTTGGTTCTTTTAAGTAGGGAAGGAAAAGTATATCTACATTTCTTATTTTGAACCAGTTACTAATTTTCCTTTTGATCAGTTGTTATTACTGAGCTACACTATCTCCTTTTTGAGAAAATTGTAGTTTTACAAATATCTGCATGGCATCAGTCTGAGGAAAAAGTACCTAATACTAATTTCCATTACACAATGTTGGTAGGTGTTAGAAGCTGGAATAAATGTGGAGCATTACAGCACTTTTATAAAGTTCTAATCACATTCTCTATTAAATACATGGTTTGTATATATTTGTTTCCTTAGAGGGAAAACAAAACTATTTGAGGTTAAATATCAAACAAAACTATCACAGATCAAAATAATTTCTTCTTTCTTACAGCCAGAAGATATGTTTGTTTGTGACATGAATGAACAGGACATCAGTGGTCCTCCACTGCACAAGAAACTAAAGAAAAGCCAGTGCACACCTCTTTTTATGAATGCCTACACTATGAGAGGTATGTAGCAATGTTTGCAGTTCAGCAGTGACTGAAACACTGTATATGTACATCCACAAAATTGCTATTCAGTACCATATTCTTTAAACCTAGAAGTTAGGGTGGAATAAACATGAAACTATAAAATAAATTGATATGCAAAGGTATATATATAGAGTGGGATATAATCCACAGTAACATCCCATCAGTATCATTTGCAATTTAATCTTGTCTTGTAGCTATGCCTGTGATCATGTTTTCAGCACAGATTTTAGTGCAGAATATTGGTAGGTTGCAGGGGAAGCCCAGGATTACAACAGTTTTACATCAGTGGTTTTGCCAATTCAGCTATTACAGTTTAAATCCTTTTGCATCCGTTGGCTGAGATTAACAGTTATAAAATAGGAATGGGTACTGAAAAGAGTATGAAACTTTTCTTTTGCAGGTAGATAGTAATAGAGAGCTTTTGATGTTGTGTAAAATTTACATCTGTTATTTTAGAAAGGATTTTGGGAGTCTCTTCTGGTCTTCCTGCACAAGCAGCTTACATTGTGTCCTCAAGGAATAACAACATTGCATCTTTATAAGTAGATTATAATTATTTTCTACCTATCTTTCCATCATGACACATAAGATGATGAATTTTTTTTCAGAGAATCAGCAGATAATTGAGGAAAACATAAAAAGAGAGTAAAAAGCTTTAAACTTTCATTTAACAAATAAGTTGGGGAATTCCTTATAACCTCAGAACTCTGATAAAATTACGAGTGTCTCAGTCATTGTAGTATGTAAAGAAGTGTTCAAGTAGTGTTTCTGCTTGAATTTGTACAAGCAGTGTCTCTCCTGGAATGTGTCACAAACTGAAAGCTGACACAAGTGTCCTAAGACAATCCATAATTATCTCTTATATGAGTAATTACCTTATACTTTCATTTAAGTTGCTGTATATTTTTTCCTCTCATACAGCAGATCAGCATTTGCTAAGATGCCTAATCAAAGGAAATTAATCAAGTATGTGAATAAAATTTTCATAATAGAGACATTTTAAAATTAATTCTAAATTTTCTTTTTCTGCTCCTAGGGGCAGGCGCAGTGATCCATACACATTCCAAGGCTGCTGTTATGGCTACCCTTCTTTACCCAGAGAGTGAGTTCTCTATCACCCATCAGGAGATGATAAAAGGAATCCAGAAGTGTACTTCAGGAGGCTATTACAGGTATTTCTCTATATTTAGGAATAGAGGTGTGGTGTTTGATCATTTGTTTTCAGCAATATCAATACAAGTCATTTGAGTTATATACTTGAAAGTGTATAATACAAAGTATTAAGAATAAGAAGTAAAAAGACCTCTGGAATGAATGAGTCACCACTGGCTTTCTGTAAGATCTGAAGCTTGTGTATGAGATCTGAGATAAGATCTTGTACTGCCAAGGCTGCTGTGGTCTGTTGAGCTACAGGAAGAAGCCAAATAAAGAGCTACATCCTGAGATGTTACCACATCTGTACAACATTCAGCTGAAACTGGAGCCAGCCAACACCAGGTTGGATTGATAGCATGTACAAACTACATTTTGGGTGGACTTCACATATCACTGCCTGTGCTAGTTTAGGGCATGTTAAGAGAGTAGAGGATTTCAGATTTACTTGACAGAGTTTGAAAGAAAATTCAGAATAAACAGCTCATTAAAGATAATGTTATTACTTTTCAAGGATGAGCTCTGAGGTAAGTGCTGAGTTATTCCAAATTATGTGTGATGGCTTGTTTTGAGGTCTCCACCCACAGAGTGTTGAATTGGGATCTGCAAACAACATTTATATAACATGTGACAAGGAGATGAGAAATTGAAATGCTAAATTCTTTCCACTTTTTGATGTTAATTTTTGTATCTAACTGTTGCCCTTTGGCAAGGGAGAAAGTCATATGTGATTTTATGCCCAGGCATATTTTATTCCATTTTGGTTGACTTGCCAGCTTTACTTTCTTGTCACCATTAGCATGTGCATTTTTAATGTGGTAAAATGTAAACCCTTGTACTCAATTGTCTAACAACATTGTTTTTTTTTAAATCCACAACAATTTTTTATATGCATTTTGAGCTCTCAAGCACTCCTAAATGTTAGTCAGGAAACATTGGATTTATTGGGTTCCATGCCTCCAAGTTTTCTGTGTCATTCTATTAATTTACCAGAAAAAATCCAAGAAATCAAAGCTCCAGGTTATATGGTTCATAAGCACATGTTCATTCACACTAGACTGATTCCACTGGCTTGCCTCACACAAGCCTCCCCACTGAATTCAAAGGAAAAATGGGTCCTTGGATTCAAAATACAAAATGGCGCTTTTCAAAAAAGGGATTGCATGTTGTTTCTAGTTACATGAATCTTTTCTGGAAGCTGTCCAGGAAAATGCTACAGATAGAATAATCAGAAGTATATGTTTGCCTAAATATGACTCCAGTGATGCCACACTGGTTTTACCTTTGATTTCCATAGAAGAGAATTAGATCAGTAGTAAACAGGTTTGAAAGTCAGACTGTCACAAGGTATTTTACATCCATGTTTGACTAAACATAGGCTGCTTATATTTCAATTTTTAAAAAAAAGAGAGCCCAAGTATTTAGCTCATTCAGAGTCTTCTTGACATTTTTTAGGTATTAGCTCTTGATAGAAAGCTTATAGTCCTGGTTAGGAATCAGTTATGATATTTATAGCAGCTTCCAAGCTCAAGCAGAAACTAGGAAGCCAATCCATTAATTCAATTGGCCTCATTAGTAACAAACACTCCAAGTGTAATTTTAGCATTCCAAATTTATAAGAGTCAGAGCTTCAAATACCACCTCACTTTCTTCATTCACTGTTTTTATAGCCTCCCTTGAGAAAGTGTCAGCATTGAGAACCGTAAGAGATGAGACTTTATCTTCTGAATATTTGATTTCAAATATAAGCTGTTGGTGTTGGGTTTTTTACCATTGCTTGCTTTCTGTGTTTCACAAAAGAAAGTACTACTAGCATCCACTCATGAAATATCTATGTGATCTCAATGATAACTCTGAACCTGAACTGGGGACTTATTAAAACTATTTAAACAAGTTTCTGCTAGTGTTAATTAAGGTTCAAACAATGCCAAAATATCCCAGTCCTCCTTCAGAAGAAACTCTTAGGCAAGTTCCACTGAGTAACGTGCATCATCTTGTCTTTGGAGCTGGGCTTCTCAGGCTCTCTTAAGATCACATGTAGCCCACCAATGACTCCATCACAGAGAATTTATTTTTCATGTGTTGACTCTACTTTCTATTTATATGCCTTAGCAGGACAATCTTCCAGGGGCTTTTTGGACTACCTAAATTATTTTTTTCTGTTCTCCAGCAAACAGCTTCATTTCCTTCTATATGATAGGATTCTTTTAAATAATTTAATCTGAGGTAAAACTTGTAGATGATGCCAGTACAGGATAAAAAGTTTGAAAAAGTTGTAAAGGGACCCAACTACAAAGTGATATGGGAATAAACAGCTACACCTAATAGATTAAAGTGTTATTTTCTTTTTGTGCCTCAAGTGTAGCTCAGGCATTGCCAGCATAATATGTGTTTGGGAGTGAGAGATGTTCCTGAGAATTCCCGTGCTACAGCATGACTCACAAGAGAAGAGAATAAAATCTAGTGATGAGAATTAAACTTTTTACACAGTCAGAGGATAATTTCTTTCTTAGGGAAAAGTTTCATACATCCAAGCACAGGGTTTTTTTAAGTACATGAAGATGTCTTTTTTTTCTAGATATGATGATACACTAGTGGTTCCTATTATTGAGAATACACCAGAAGAGAAGGATCTCAAGGAGAGAATGGCACGTGCAATGGAAAAGTACCCAGACTCTTGTGCTGTGCTGGTCAGACGTCACGGTGTTTATGTATGGGGAGAGACATGGGAAAAAGCCAAAACTATGTGAGTACAGTTCAGGAATATGCTGTCTCTTGCCTCAAGATCTTAATGAACTTAATGCCATGTATATTTCCAGTCCATGGACAATGATTCAGAATATTAAGGCCTCACTGCATGTATAGGGAGCTTTTGGGAATGGTTTCATCCATGATTCCATTGCTTGGTTTTCCTTCTATATCAGTGCTGGCTGATAGGGTTGCCAACATTTTCCTTTCAGACAAGTCAACAAATCCCTTCTCATATGAAACACACAGGCAGTCTATGCTTTTATATGACACCTGCCAATACTGTTTGTGTAGCCCTCCCTAGTCCCATTTTTGGAATTTACCTCATCTGCTGATGGAAATGCAGCAAATCAATATTATGTAGGAAAATGGCACTTTCCATTCCACAGCATTGGAAATAAACAATAATAGAGCTGTCCAGTCAGACTATCACATTGGTGATAAAATCTTAAGGAAGGAAAATACTAATTTTCATAAAACATGATAAGGCTTGAGCTTTACTTACATTGCATTTTTTCCCTATTTATTTTAGGTGTGAATGTTATGACTACTTGTTTGATATCGCAGTGCAGATGAAGCAGCACGGGCTAGATCCTTCAAAACATCCAGCAGGAGAAAATGGGATCTTGTAAATGTCAACAACATTTATACTCAGGTGTGAATTTATCTGTAAAGATGATCTGTTGGGAGGGAGAGACTATAGATGACACCATCACTTCAGTCTGCTTTCCCACTCAGGAAACTTCAGTATTGCTCATCTTCCCCCAGTCTGCTCCATTATCACTGCAGTTGTTTCTATGCCTGAAATAGTGCTCCTTTTCCACACAATGCAGCAAAATTTATATGTATTAACAGTTAGGTAAGTCCAGTGGATCTTTAGTGCCAATGTACAGCATGGAGTGTGATTTCTTTTTAAAACAAAATAATATCAAGTATTTCCAGAAAAGCCAATGGACTAAAAAGGCCAGAGCCTAGTGAGCTGATATAGACAGAGATGTCTGAACACCCACATTTGTTCTGCTTGCAGGATCAGGTTTGATTTCAGACCATCTCAGTGATATTACTTATGTGGTGGGTTGGTTGGGGGTTTTAGGGGGTTTGGTTTTTTCCTTCAGTGTGGCTGGTTGAGTTTCACTGATTAGTGTTACCTGTTTACCTCCTGTAGGAAATCACATTGACTTTCTGTTTTCTACTGTAGCAATGATCAGTTTTGAAAGTTTTCATAAGAAATTTTTGAAGTTAAAGCCCAAAGATAATATGATCAGGGCACTCTACCTGAAGGATACCTGAAACAATTCTCACATATGTACAGCTTGGTATGGCAAAATGCAGTGGTAGCATAAAATTTCAGAGTTGGAAAATACAAATTTAAAGGTACCAGTACTGAGATTATAAAGGAATTTCTTGACCAAAGCAGTGGGGCAGGAGGTGTGCTGTCAGTGAGCTCTGCCTTAGCTGGCATTCAGGGTGCTGCTGCTGCCTACAGTGATGAAGACAGGCTGGATGCCACTCCTGCACAAAGCTATCTCATGGCCCACAAGGGCCATTCTAAATTTACTCCTCAGCACCTGCAACTGGATAAGTTGGGCTTCTGTAGTGGCATTAATATTCCTTTGCCTATTTATTGTGACAAGTTTTAGAACATTTTTGCTTTTACTTTATTTCTCCTGTACAGGTTTCTTACATGATGATGGGAGTTCCAGCTTTCACCCCACACTATTGAAGCCAGAAGGGGGTGCTGATCCTCAGCTGATTGACAAATGTCAGCAGCAACTTTTAACTGTTAAATGCACCCAGGAATTAAAGGAGAGTTAAAAAAACCCAACTACTGAACAATCATTGTTGCAATTTCCAAGTCCTGTCGAATGCCACAGTAGGAGGAATGAAAATTCAGATGCAAAAATACTTTGAAAAACTTTGGAGAACTAATGTCACATTTTGGTTTTGTGCCTTAAAAATTCATATTTTAACAACCTGCACTTGTTGATCCTGCCCTAATGCTACATCATTTAACTTGAAATAAGTCTGCATATTTCTGAAAGTTATTGTAGCTTTTATTCTTCCAGAAAAAAGTGAGGACAACCCCTTAATTAGAAGTTAATAAAGTTTAAAGCATTGTTTGAACTGTTGATTCCTTCATACCATGTTTGTGTTTATGTTTTTGGGGTTTTTTTTTCTTTTTTTAAATTAAGCCTGTAGCATATGTATTTTTAAACTCTCCTAATTGTCATTATAATGAGAAGGAAATTTTATAGCATGTATTTTGCAGTTGTTACTGAGGGACTGCTCTGGGTCTTACCTTTTTAAATTCCTTCACTTTGAATAACAGCTTTGTATGACCTCTGTTTAGCCCCCACCCCAAGGTAGATTTAATCAACCTGCTCATTAAAACACAGTCTCACATAATTATGACAGAGTCTTCTTTCAAAATCTTCTGGAATAGCCCCCTGGTGGCGTCAGTGTAAGCTCAGTTGACCAATTTTCTAATTGAGTATTGAGACCTCAGTCCCAAGGGTGAGCTGGGCCAGGCTAAGTGCCAGCTGACCCTGGTTTCTGCTAGGGGCTGTGCATTCCCACCACTTTCCCTTCCATCATCTCTGGCACTTTTTTGGAGCTTCCATGAGGTGAATTAACTCTTCAGCCTAAAATAAAACTACTGTGGGAGTGGGGGAAAAATTGTTTCAATTATTTCCTACTAAGCCATTGATAAAAACACTGAATCAAGTCAAAGGTGGGGCCAAAGAGAACCTAGAGCCAGGGCAAGAGGACATGGCTGATGGCAGAGATGGCAGACACCACTTCCCCCTTTTCCCTAACCCTAACCCTAACCCTTTTCCTGGGGATGACAATTAAGGTCAGTGTTTTGTGTACCTTAGGCATGTTTGCCCTTCCCTCTTTTACCTCTGTACCTGCAGTGTGCAACATTTAACCCTTAGGGGGACCTTGGTTATGGTGAAATAATGGTTATCACTGAGTAACTACAGGTTGCTTGCTATATGTTTATTGATTTTTTTTTCATTATTAGACATTTGTCAGTGGCAAATAGTTTGCAGTGATCACATATCTTCTGAATGTATGTGGATTGCAGTAAGAACTTGTATGAAAATGCTATTTTTTAGACCAGAGGGTGACTTTGGACAGGCTACTTCACTTAAGCATAAAATATCTCTGAAGTGTGTTCAAGACTTGAGAGGTGCAGCTGACCTTAAGGGAAAGCAGACTCTAATTCTCTTAACTTTTCTTCCCTGTGGATGTACTAATAAAAACACTTCATGTGACAATCCAATTAGTCTTGAAATCTAGCTGCCATCTATTCATTGTGGCCTTTAATAATTTATTTAAAGTGTCTGATTTTTGCAAAAAACAACTTTGTGTGGTATTCAGATGATGATTTCAGAATAGGTGATAATTGTATCATTCCATGATACTGATGTTTTATAAGCATGAAGAAAATTTTACATTTGATGTTTTTTTGTTTTGCATATGTAAAGACAAGCCATAAAAGAACACTCACGAGGAAAGGTACTTTTTGCCAAATATATTCCTTTGGGGTTGTGCTAGTTACAATATTCACTTTCTCATGCAGCTACAATTTGCTCTGTAGCCTTTCTAAAATCTGTAAATAATCACATTTCTACAGTAGTAGTTAAGGTCTTTCATACAGGATTCCTAGATGCTCAGAGTCCCATTCAGTGATTTGGAAACGAGTTAAATGCACCCATCTCATGTCTTCTCATATGAATCCTCATCAAAGAAATTAATGCCTTCACAACTCTGGTGGCTTCATAACCCTGTGAAATGATTACTGTTTCCTGAAGTGCTCACAAAGCTCTGGCAGTACAGCTCTGATTATGTAGAACAAAAATAGGAAAATGTCTCATACGATTCAAAGCTTCTTGACTCACATAATTTTTAAGTCTATCTCTTTTCCTGATGTGAATATTAGGCTTTTAAGCCAGCTAGGTGTTTTTCTGTTTGCAGCAAAGACTTGATCTCCACCAAAGCTGATTATCTAGGTTTAGTATCACAGATAGGCTCATGGCAGAATGACATAATTCCCATTTAAATGGCTCATCCAAAAAGCTAAGTAAGTTCCAACGTTTCTCAATAAAAGTAACTTCCTAGCAAACATCCTGCTTGCTTTCCAAGAAGGAAATAAAACTGCAGAATACAGGATCTCAAAATGTTAAAGAGATAGAACTCTTAACTTACCATAAGCAGTTATGATGCCAATGTATGTTCTGTTGTAAATGCTGTAATGCCTGAACAATTGGCATCCTCTTCAACTCTGAAATTTTAATTAAAAAATTAATATTAAAAAAGCCCACTGACTAGTGGAGCATTACAAATAAACCAGTAGCCTTCCTCTAAATTGTTTTTTTGCCGCATATTTTGGCAAACAGGTTTGTAACAGTTTTTTGCTATTTTACAGAAGATGGTAAAAGGGAAAAAAGATCCCTGGAACACTGTGAATGGGTTACTCCCATACTGAGGGGTAGAAGAAAATATATAGTTTGATATTAATCCTTCCTGATTTCAAAATACTTATAAAACCTCTGAAAAATGCTTCATTTTTCAAGCCCCTTCATATTTGTATTTCAGCTTTGTTCTAAGAGGAGGTGAACCCTTGCAGGCTTTGGTTTTGTTTTGTTTTCCTAGGTACAATAGAAAGTTGTGCCTTACAGAGCCAGGCAGTTTTCAAGGACAGCCCTCTGAGCTGAGACAGACTTTTGTAACAGTGTGTAGAGGAGCCTGTGATTGCACTTTGCTACCAACTAATTGACCCTTCATGGGTCTGGACGTTTGCTTAAATTTCAAGTCAGCTTAATGTTACTACAGAAGAATGCTACCTGGCCTGATTTTTAAGAGTGAATTTTTAAGTCCCTAAGTCTGAAAAAGAGCTCTCAGGCATTTATTCTGGTAGCGCTAAAGGTTTCACTGCATATAATGGATGGTAAATAAAATCTGGCTTTTGGTTGACTTGATTAGCACAGGCTTGTATTTCTGCTACATGAGTGCCAGAGTTTCAGCATATACTGAGTGAACCATTGCAAAATTATTTTGGAGGTGGAACTTCTAGTGGAACCACATCCATCGCCTATTTCCTGGGATTTTAATCTATTGAAATCAAAAGCAATTCCAAATATTAAATTTTTAAATTTTTCTATAGTCTGCACACCTAATCTAGCATCTGCTAGTTTTTGCTGGACCAGTCAAAGAAAAGCAGTGACTGCCTAATGCTCAGTCCAAAAAATGGATTGAGCATGTTTGTGTGGATGGGCAATCGTGGAAATTCATAGGAAATTCATATACTCTGAGTAGTATTGACAAACACACTTGGTACTTATATATGTCTGTTGGGGTTTTTAACTCTAAGAGACTGTGCTGTTGGACTAGCAAATTTCTCCCATCTATGACAGATAAAATTACAGGTTAATCTCCAGAAACCAGATCAACAGGAATTTATTTAAGTAGTTAAGCATAAATTCTGTCTCCTTAATGAGCCTCAGATTAGCTTCAATTTCTCTAATGGTAATTTCTGGTTATTACAAACAGAATACACTGGATATAGAAGAAAGAATAGGTTTTATATTTAAAACAAAGAGCTGGATGTCTAGATTTTGTGGCTGATTGAACTGTTACCTTAAGGTCATGCCTTAAACAGTTCACTTTGATGGGAGTTTCAAAAGACCTTGAATGAATCAGATACTACCCTAAATCCCATTGGAAAGTTATGGGATTCATTTTGTTAGGCTCCCCTCTTAACTCTAAGGATGTAGCTGTCTTTATTTCAATTAGGAGTAAGAAAGAAAAAAAACAGAGAAGGTCACCTTGAGTACAAGCTGCCAACTTAATCACTGCTGTGTCCCTGTTTGATATCAAATACCTAACTGGTATTTTTTCCCTGTGCTAGAAACTTGTAGTTAAGAAAAAGGTTACATAACTTGATTTCACCTAGAAGGAATTTACAAACCCAAGAAATCAGGAACTGAGCTGTCCTGCTTACTCGAATGTGCATTAAGACTACCAAAAGTAACACAGCACAATTTTTGTGACTCCAATTTCTCCCTTCCCAAAGGACACCAGCTCTCTGTCTTTCCAGATGAAACCTCTGTTTTATAATGCCATTTTTTATTTCCTGTTCTCCAGACAAAGCAGTTCCCATTGCATGGCAGTTCCTGAGAGCACTGTGAGAAGGAATATGTGTGAATGACAACTGAGCATTGCCCGGGCTCTGCAGGTTGCTGGGCACTTAACACGAATGATTCCATTTCTTTTGTCTTTATGCTTTGTCTCATTTCCGTGCTTTATTCAGTTTTAATCCTGCTTTTCTGTAAGACTTTCTTCCTTCTGGTGTTTTCCTTACAATCATTGAAACCAAATGTAAACTTAGTACCATTTGCATTCTGGTTGAACTTTCAAACCCAGGAATATTTTTGTGTTGCAAACATCTCTTTCCTGATTCATCTGCTACATCCCTGACATATCTGGGCATGTCCTGTTATTGTCTGTTTGCAAAATTTTGGTACTTAAAACAGTTAATGTGTCTTTTGTATCTCAGACACACTAGGATTTTGCAAGCAAGTGTCTGTTGATTGCAAGAGCATATGAGCAAGTATGAGACTAATTTCCTGTTAAGGAGTCGCTACATTAAAAGGATATTTGCATAATCATAGACCAAGATAATGTAGGGAAAACCCCTGAGATCATTCTGCTGCCAGGATTAGGCCAAGCCCAACATGTAATTTATTTGAATGCATGAAAGCTGCTCCTTATCGTTCACTTCTATCTCAAGTCTCCAAGCACTTTAGTTGGCAGCAGCAGGCTCTAACTCCTCCTGGGTAATTCATTATCCTCAACAACTTTTAAAAGGGTTATTTTAAGTTTAACTTAACAGTCCCTGCAACTTAATTAATACAATAAAAAAACTATTCCTTTTATGAATTTCTGTCACATGTTCAAAATCAAGCTACAGCATCTTCTTGGGTCATCATTTTATTTGATACCCTCCCCTTCAGGTTATGATAACTTCAGAAATATTGCATGCACCACAGAAACAGGGGTTCAGGACTACACATATGAAAAACATAGGCAAAACCAATGAGATTTCCTAATGCAGTACTTTTTTCAACTTGTATATAAATAAAGAAGTGTCCACATAGAAGTTCAGCAGAAAGAAGTACAAAAGAAAGTACATTAGCAATGAAAAATCAAGGCACATACCAGTGCTGTTTCTGAACAGATTAATACTTAGGGCTGGAGGTTCTCTATTTCCATTTTAAATTCAGGCGCATGCTTGAAGTTTTATTTGGAGAATCTCATTATCAAAGCAAAGAATTTGTCATACTTGCCACCTGGTACTTCCTCCAGGTAAACAGGCTTAGAGGCTGGCTAATGGCTAGAGT